CATGAGAGGGGGGAGGGTCAGAGGGAGAAGCAGACTCCCTGCTGAGCAGGGAGCCCTATGCGGGACTCGATCCAGGGACTCCAGGATCATGACCTGAGCGGAAGGCAGACGCTTAACCGACTGAGCCACCCAGGTGCCCCTGTTTTTTGTGTTGTGTTTGTTTGTTTGTTTTAGAGAAAGAGAGAGCAGGGAGAGGGGCAGAAGGGAGAGAGAGAATCTGGAGCAGATTCCACAGAGTGTGGAGCCTGATGCAGGGCTTGATCTCCCAACTCTGAGATCACGACCTGGGCTGAAACAAGAGTCAGGTGCTCAACTCACTATGCCACCCAGGCACCCCAAATCTTATATTTTTTAAATTTGAGGTTATAAAGACATACTTTTAAAGCCCAGGATTTTATATTAGGTTATATGAGCTTATGTTGTTCTCGATGCAGTTTCTCTCACTTTTATTTTTAAAGCAGGACTCAGTTTTTCTAAGTTAATATAAAAATTCCTGTTTAGAATATTTTCAAATTCCAACACCTTAAAAAAGAGAATTGTTTATATTGTAATTATGATAGACCCTGAATATCTTTAGGTTGATCACTTTAAATTGGTAAGTGTTAAAGCCTTATCAAGTATGTCATATAGCAGAATTTAAGAAAGTTGTTTCAAATAATTAAGATTTTTGATCAGTACTTTTTTTATTTTAAAGATTTTTATTTGAGCAAGAGAGAAGCACGCCAGCAGGGGTATGGGGAGGAGCAGAGGGAGAGGGACAAGCAGACTCCATGCTGAATGTGGGGTCCTACACAGGGCTCAATCTTTTGACCCTGACATCACAACCTGAGCCAAAATCAAGAGTCGGATGCTAAACTGATTGAGCCACCCAGGCACTCCTCAATACGTTTTACTTTATGGATGCTTCCTATTCCTGCCTAGAAATTTTTTCCATAGCATTTGAATTAATACTTACACATTTCTTTCTTTAACAGATGAAGAAAAAATTTGGCCCCCATGTATTAGAGTAATTGTTATTAGATCACCAGTATTGCAGACAGGATCACTTTTTATCATTACAGCTGTAAACCCTGCTACAATTGGAAGGTAAAAATGTTTAATGTTATTATGTTTGTGTATTTATCTTAACTCCAATGGATTGTATATTCCTCAACCAGTTATAAAATGTGCATGGTACTTGTTGAATAGGCAAACACTGAATGACATCCATGTTCCTCCCTCTCCCACTCAGAAAATATTGTTGACCCTTATCTCTGTCACAGAAATTTTGTCATTTTCATCCTTTTTGTACTGCCGTTTCTGGTTTAAATTCCTTCATTAAATCCATGTTTGTCCAGTATTTAATCCCCTTCCTCTGTTTCTTTTACCCCTTTGTAATTCATAACCAGCTTGGTAGAGAGGTAGGTTTTAATCATGAGTAGGATAATTTCATTACTTCCCAGTGGGAAAGAAAACCCATCCTTAATTCATATTCTGTACAAAATCTTAGTTTTAAATTCTTGAAGAATAGTATGGTCCTTTTACATATAGTAATAGAAGCTGGAATGTAGTCAACAGATCTCGAATGATTGATGTTAGTACAAAGGATATGCTGTTCTGGATGTTTATTATTTTTTTTATAAAGATTTTTATTTAGAGAGGGAGACAGCATGTGAGTATGGGGCAGAGGGAGAGAATCTCGAGCAGACTCTGCACTGAGCACGGAGCCTGACTTGGGGCTCGATCTCATGATGAGTGGAAAACAAGAGTTGAACTCTTAACTGACTGAGCCACCCAGGCACCACTAGATGTCTATTATTAACCTGGGGTAGATGTATCAAAAAATAAAAGTAATCCTGGAACTTCTTTCAAATAGGAAATTTAGAGTAGGATTAAGGAAATGACTTAAGTGTGATAGAGGGACTTGGATTTTAACATTTTCTTTTAAAACAACGACGACAAAAATCTTAAAAAATATCGTTTCTTTGTTAACTGTGTTTAATCTATATATGGTTCAAAAATTATTAAAGACACTTTACTTAACCCTGCAGAGAAAAAGATATGGAGCATACTCTCCGAATCCCTGAAGTTGGTGTTAGTAAGGTAAGTTCTTTGATTTTTCAAATATAGCGCCCTAGATACGATTTTATAAACCCTCATTATGACAGGAAGCTTAGGGGCTTTTTTATTTAGTAGAAAGTTTAATAGTCCAGGTATTAATGGAAATGAAAGCAATTCAGATTTGTTTATTCCACTGCTTGCGAGAATAATTCTTTATCAAAATTAGAGTAAACTAAATGATGTTTAATTTTTAACAGTCTGGAGCAGGAATAGAAATGTAGATTAAGTATTAAAGTAATACCCATTTAACAAATATTTATTGAGTGAACTAAATGTTCTTGATATGGTGGTTCAAAAATGAATCAGACCTGGATTCAGGCTATTTTATTAGATGGTTACTGTTGAGTCCAGAGTATATTACAACTCAAGAACTATTTGTCCTCTACCACCCAAGGCTTTTATAGCTTTTCCTAGTTGCTCCTCTGATGGTTTCAGGAAAAAGAATACTTGGGTTTTTAAAACAAACAAAGCAGCGGTGCAACTTTAGTTACAAGTAGAAAAACAAAAGGTTTTGCTACTGATACTCTTTATATTTGCTAGTTTTCCTTTTCTTTACTGTATTTTCTGTAGTTTTTCCCTCTCTTCCATGCTGGTTATCTTTTTCTGACCTTTCATCATCCCCATTTTGTTTCTATTTAATAGATTATAATATGGATCTAAAGTATACATTTTATGTGATTTTTGTCTTTTGAGGATGAAATTTGTTTTCCATTATAGTTTGAAAGTCCACTTATTTTTACTTTGTTTCAACTCATTCAGAAGGGAGGAAATTTTCATAATCTTAACTCTGACCAAATTATCTTGCTTTTTTACTTTACTATGACCCTTCTGCCTCCAAAGAAAACCCACTCTGTGATTTAAATAGCAATTCAATCTAAAATATAGGTAGTTCTGTAGTGGCATTTCTGCTCTTTCTTTCTTTAAAACTAAGATATTCACTGGTGGGGTAAATGGTTTGTTACTGTATGAAATCGTTTTGACAATATATATTACACATATCCAGATAGATGAAAAAAATTAAATAAAAAACCCTGGACACTTCATATTAATATTTGGGGAAAATGGAATCTGTCACTGGATAGGGGAAGACCTCCTAAGTTTAAAAAAAATGAGAAAAAATCAGAGAAGACATAATTTTGAGTAATTTTAAGTTCTTGTCATGTTAAACAAATTTAAAAGGCAGATTACGTGGGGCACCTAGCTGGCTGAGTTGGAAGAATGTGAAACTCTTGATCTCAAGGTTGTGAGTTTGAGTTCCATGTTGGAGGTAGGGTTTACTTAATAATAATTAAAAAAGGCAGACTAGGACAGTAAGAAATATGACAAAATGTATATCTTTTATGTTTTAAAATCTCATACAAATTCATTTTTTTCAAACCCCACTGTGACACTAATAGATAAGTGAGCAAAGGCTATAAATAAACAATTCACAATGCAGGGGATATCATTACTATGTGAAAACCATTCAGTCTTTCTAAAAATTTTAAGAAATACAAATGAAGTCAAAATGTCAGTTTTCATTTGTCATATTTATTAAATTTTACTCCTGTTGGGAGCATAATTTAGAACAGCTCTTTGGAATAAGGTTTCAAGTCAAAAGACTTGAAACTATTTAAATGCTTTGGTATAGTTGTTAGTATTCTAAAGAACCCAGTTGAAAAAAAATGTATGAAGGACATGAAGAGAAAATATACAGAAGAGGAAATCCATGTGGCTAAAAAATATAAGGTTTCAGTCTTCGTAGTAATTGAGGAAATGCAAATTAAAATCACGATAATGAGATTTAATTTCATACCTTTTATGCTTGCAAAAACTGAAGATTCCGACAATAGCAAATATTGGTTAAGACTATATTCTTGGCAACAAGAATTCTTATAGTTTGCTTTTGGGAATATAAATTGGTACAACCACTTTGGAAAACAATATGGCAGTATCTAATAAAGTTTAAGATTTGCACATACTGTGACTTAGCACTTTCATTATTAAGAATATACTCCTGAAAAATCCTTGCATTGTGTACAGGAATGTTGCATGTATAAGAATGTTGATAGAAACATCTTAAAAAATAGTAAAACCTTGGGGGAAAAAACTGGATGTTCATCATCAGAATATGTTGAAGAATCCGTACAGTGAGTTTTACCATTCAGCAAAATGGCAAAACTGTACACAACTGGATGTACCTCACAATATAATATTAAGCCAAAGAAGCAAAATAAAAGAAATACATACGGTAGCATATGTTTGTCAGAACTTATCAAACTATAAATGTAATACCTGTGAATTTTCTGTATGTGAATTACATCTCAAGAAAATATTCATACAGTGTAATTCCCGTTATGTCAAGTTTAAAGCAAAATAACCATGAATTGTTTATGGATGCATACATACGGGGTGAAAGTAATAGAGGCATAATGATTAAATATTGAACCGTTGAAAAGAAAGGGTGTGGGATGGACAGAATGAGTTACACATCCATGAATAATAATTTTTCTTTTAAATATCTGAGGCAAGGGGGCCTGAGTGGCTCAGTCCGTTAAGTGCCTGACTCTTGATTTTAGCTTAGGTCATGATCTCAGGGTCTTGAGATCGAGCCCCGTGTTGGGCTCCATGCTCAGCATGGAATCTGCTGGGGATTCTCTCTCTCCTCTCCCTCTGCCCCTTCCCCCACTCCCACCCTCTCTCTCTGAAATAAATAAACTAAAATCTAAAAAATAAATACCTGGGTCAAATATGGCAAAATTTATTAAAACTGTGTCATGGGTAGACCAGTTCAGTGTATTCTTTTGTGTGTTTGGAACACTTTATAATTAGTTTATGAGAAATTTTTTTTCTTTTTTTCAAAGGTTTTATTTATTTATTTGACAGAGAGAGCACAAATAGGGGGAGAAGCAGGCTCCTCACTGAGCAGGGAGTCCAATTGGGGCTCAGTCCCATGACCCTGGGATCATGACCTGAGCCAAAGGCAGATGCTTAAGTGACTGAGCCACCCAGGCACCCCTGTTTATGAAAATTTTTAAGAACAACTTCATTGGGATACAGTCCATATCCTGTATACAATTTATGCATTGAAAGTGTGTAATTCAAAGGTTTTTTGTATAGAGTTGTGTAGCCATCACCACAGTCAGTTTCAGAACATTTTCCTTTTTTTTTTTTTTTAAAGATTTTATTCATTTATTTGAGAGTGAGAGAGCACGAGCAGGAGGGGCAGAGGGAGAGGGAAGAAACAGGGTCCCAGCTGAGCAGGGAGCCCAATTTAGGGTTCGATCCCAGGACCATGAGATCATGACCTGAGCCGAAGGCAGACGCTTAACCGACTGAGCCACTTGGGTGCACAGTTTCAGAACATTTTCATCACCATTAGAAGAAACATAATAGTCACTCCTCATTTCCTTTTAACTCCCACAGGCCTAGGCAACCACAGTCTACTTTTATCTTCTGTGGATTTGCCTGTTCTGCACATGTTCTGTAAATTGAATCCTATAACATGTAGTTGTTTTTACCTAGCTTTTTCACTTAGTATGTCTTCAAGATTCATTCATGTTGTAGCATATATCAGTACTTCATTTCTTTTTATTGCCAAATAATAATGCCAGTGTATGGATATACTACATTTTGTTTATCAGTTGGTTGTCATTTGAATTGTTTCCACTTTTTGGCTGCTAAGAATAATGCTGTGGTGAACATTCATGTACAAGTTTGTATTTGAATGTATGTTTTTATTACTCTTGATATATACTTAAATATAGAATTGCTGGTCCTGTGGTAACTCTGTTTAACCTTTTGAGGAACTGCCATACCCTTCTAAAGCAGGTACACAGTTTTACATTCCCACCAGCAGTGTATTACTTATGAAATTATAAATTAAATGTCTGCAGTTCTTTATCCAATTAAATAGACATGTACTGGGTATATGCCATTATATGTGAGGCTCTCTGTTATATGTACTGAGTGGTAAGCAAAAATGTCAACCAAGCAGTAATTGTGAGCCATACGGCAACTATCACATATGCAGTAACTTTGTGTAGTGTAATTGTTATGTAAACAAAGTACAAGGAGGGAATGATTAGTCCTGAGTATTGAAAATCTGGAAAACTTCTCTGAGAAGTTCACCTTTGGGGGCGCCTGGCTGGCTCAGTCAGTAGAGCATGTGACTCTTGATCTTGGGGGTTGTAAGTTTGAACCCCATGTTGGGTATAGAGATTATTTTAAAAAAATAGAATCTTTAAAAGGAAAAGTTCATCTTGAATGTTTGAAGTCACCTTTTGTATTAAGAATTTTTAATGATAAAGACCAATACTTTTAATAGGTGAAAAAATAATTTCAAATGTTTTAAATGGTATAATCTCAGCTATATTGTAAAAGTAGAAAATGTAAGACACACTGAATTATTAACGGCAGTAGTAGGTGGAATTATAGGTGACTTTTTCTTCTGTAGCCTTCACATTTCTACCAGAGGCATTGTTACGCTTTTGTATTCAGGAAAAAAGGTATTAAAAATAGTAAAATTTGGGGCACTTGGCTGGCTTAGTCAGTAGAATGTGCAGCTCCTGATCTCGGGGTCATGAGTTTGAGCCCCACATTAGGAGTAGAGCTTACTTTAAAAAAAAAAAAAGATAAAATAATAAAAATTAAATTATCATAGACTTAAGTCTCGCATCCTATGATAGAAATTATCTGTGGTTTAAAAAAATATTATTCTTTATAATTACCTCATTCTTTATTTTTTTTTTGTTTTAAGTTTCATGCAGAAATTTATTTTGACCATGACTTACAAAGTTATGTCCTTGTGGATCAAGGTAGTCAAAATGGTACAATTGTTAATGGAAAACAGATTCTTCAGGTGAGTATATATATATTAATTACTTGCACATAAGTTTTAAAAAATGAACTGGAAATTTTTATTCTGAAGGCCATAGTTATTATACATATAATTTGTTTCAGATTACTATTCAAGCCCAAATGTATTACATGGAAGGGGATTCACAGAAAGGACTGAAAAAAGTATAGAATAAGTGGATACTTAACTCTTGAGTGTTATCTTCTAATTATGTATCTATGCCTTATTTTAGAAGTAAATGCATTTTGGGGTGCCTGAGTGACTCAGTCGGTTAAGCATCTGCCTTCGGCTCAGGTCATGATCCCAGGGTCCTGGGATCGAGCCCCGCATCGGGCTCCCTGCTCTGTGGGAGGCCTGCTTCTCCCTCTCCCGCTTCCCCGCTTGTGTTCCCTCTCTCGCTGTGTCTCTCTGTCGAATGAATAAATAAAAAAAAAAATCTTAAAAAATAATAAAAAAAATAAAAAAGAAGTAAATGCATTTTAAAGCTATTCAAACCAAAGGTTCTTACAGTAACTTAAAAGGCACTCCTTTTTTTGTGTTTTTTTAAAAATTGTTTTAATGGAAATTTTGCTAAAGTGGATACTCCTTGAAGATAGGGCCTATGTCTATCCAGTTAACTCTTTTATCACCAACATTTGGCAAGGTGCTTGGCACATAACATATGGAAGAAAGTAAATGGAAGGGAGTGGGGGAGGCCTTATTCTTAGTCTGTAAGAATAAAAAATGAAATAAAACTGAATTATCAGAAAAGAAGAGGAAAAAGGGGAAATATGCACTTAGCCCCTTAACACTTTATCTTTTTGACTGTGATGGTTATTCATTTTGGTAATAGATTGTTTGATGTTTGGGTTGGGTATTTCTCTAGGATTATGCATGGAGATGAGATTAGCGGGTTTTGATAATATAAAAGAAGTTGCTCAGTGCAGGTATCTTCTCCACTAGTTGAACATTATATCATCCTCAAGTTGTGGAAATGTGCACTGTGTGTGCATGTGTGTGTCTATCTCATTGAGAACCATCCTAAATATTTTTTTGTTTGAATCAGACATTACTTACAGTAGATATAAAATAATCTTACATAACTCTCTTGGGTTTCTGTTTTGTAATTTTTTTCTTTAGCCTAAAACTAAATGTGATCCTTATGTACTTGAGCATGGTGATGAAGTGAAAATTGGAGAGACTGTACTGTCTTTTCACATCCACCCTGGCAGTGATACCTGTGACGGCTGTGAACCAGGACAGGTTCGAGCTCACCTTCGTCTTGATAAGAAAGATGACTCTTTTGGTATGTGAAACATATTGTTATATGTAGGCATGATAACTTTTCTATTTAATTCACTGGAGTGTTCTAAAAAAGTATCAGCTACCAGCTTCGTATTTAATTGATATAAAACTGTATTGAGATACATTTATATTTTAGTGAATATTATGTGAGATAAATATTATTACGTGAGACTAAGAAATGACATGCATTTGAAATTTGAAACCTAGGCTAGTCGCTTATGATTTTAGTTGATTTTTTTTAAGCTAGTAGATTACGATTTTAGTTGATTTTTCTGTGCAACAATTTAGTTGTGCTATTATAGCATTAGGTTGCTTTCTGACCCATAAGGTAATCATTAGCTATTTTTGCTAATAGAGTTTAGTAGACTTTGGAAGCGGCACAGCAGTGATAGCTAAATGTCCTTCAAAAGGGTAATTGTGACATAATTATAGTAAAGATTGGTTTCCTTTTGACTTCTGTTTATGGATATGAAAAAGTCATCCATGGTTAAACTCAGTCATATAATAATATATAAAATAATAGGCTGGGGTAATAAAAGTTATTCGTTGATATGTTTGCTTTCTTTCTTTTTTTTAATGATTTTACTTATTTGAGAGAGAGTGAGCTTGAGCGGGGGGAGGGGCAGAGGGAGAGGGAGAGGCAGACTCCCAGCTGAGCAGGGAGCCCAATGTGGGTCTTGATCCCAGGACTTGGGAATCATGACCTGAGCCGAAGGCAGATTCTTTTTTTTTTTTAAAGATTTTATTTATTTGAGAGAGAGAATGAGAGACAGCACAAGAGGGAAGAGGGTCAGAAGGAGAAGCAGACCCCCCGCTGAGCAGGGAGCCCGATGCGGGACTTGATCCCGGGACTCCAGGATCATGACCTAAGCCGAAGGCAGTCGCTTAACCAACTGAGCCACCCAGGCGCCCCCCGAAGGCAGATTCTTAACTGAGCCCCCCAGGCACTCCAATATGCTTGCTTTCCTACTTAGAGCTTCTGTTGCTATATCATCTGTATATATACACCATTATTTTCTATAATAACACTGTAAGAGGTTGCTATCTTATTTAAATCCACTCATCAGAGGCTTTTAAATTTTAAATAGATACTTTGAACCAGTAAGAAGTAATTTTTTTTACATCAAGTTTTTCCCCCAAATACCAACTATATGTGTTCATTGTTTATTTTTTGTTTTCTGATACTAGATTATGAAAATGAGTATGGTACATTACACAGCAATGTGAATCTTGGATTCAGTGATTTTTACATGCCTATAATACTTTGGAAAATTAACAGTATTTCTGCATTTGAAATTCTGTTATAATCATATCAAAAAATTAAGATGGTCAGTGTTCTTTTGTTATCTATAGTGTAGCATTCCTGTAGTCTTTGGGATTTGGTTTACTTTCCAAGTAGATTTATTTACCAAAATGCTGAAAGGACATCACCACAACCCAAGATTCCTTTATATTAATGTTTAGTTGAGCTTTTAGTTAATATGCAGATGGAATAGTATTAATTTTTTATTATTAAGTAGCAGTATTAATTTTGTGTAAAGTCTGTCAGACTTAGTATTTTTTTTTTTTAAACCAAACTCAACTTTTTCCTTTTAGTTGGTCCAACGCTAAGTAAGGAGGAAAAAGAGTTGGAAAGGAGAAAAGAATTAAAGAAAATACGAGTAAAATATGGTTTGCAGGTAAGGATGTTAAATATTGTTACGTTTATTATTTATGCATCTGGATTTGAGTAAAAATGTCTTTAGATATGCATAGTCCATTTTATATATAAAGATACAGCTATTTAGAATGATTTTGAGGTTTATATAATTTGGTTACTGTTTACTTCAACAACTACTGAGGCTGGAGTAGAAAAATGATAATAATATCCAACATTCAAATAGCCATTTCTGGTTTTTAAAAAACTTGGATTAAGATGGTACCATTGAAGAACATTGTTGGGATACTGGTACTGCCTGATTTTAAGACTTCCTATAAGCCACAGTAATTAAGACAGTATAGTATTGGCATAAAGATGAATAGGTGAGGGGAACAGAATAATGAATTAAGAAATAGATTCACAGATAGATACATAGGTGTATGTGGGGGTGGGTGTGTGTGTGTATGATTTTCAACAAAGGTGTGGAGACAGTTTGGTGCAGAAAGGATGGTCTTTTTCAACAAATGTGCTGAAACACTTGGATAGCCATATGCAAAAGCAAACAAAAGAACTTTGATCTACACCTTGTAACATGTATAAAAATGAACTCAGAATGGGTCATAAATATAAATTTAAAACTTTTTAAACTATGAAGTTTCTAGAAACAAACCCTTTTAAAAAAAAAAGTTAGGCAAAGGTTTTTTAAGTTACCTAACACCCGAAGCACAATCTGTAAAAGAGCAAATTAATAAATTGCACTTCCTCCAAAACTTCTGTTCTTCCAAGGACACTATTAAGAGAATGAAAAGATATGTGGCATCTGGGTGTCTCAGTTGGTTGAGCATCTGACTCTTGACCTCAGCTCAGGCTTGATCTCAGGGTGGTGAGTTCAAGCCCCTCTTTGGGTTCCACATTGGGCATGGAGTCTACTTAAAAAAAAAGAGAGAGAATGAAAAGATAAGCCACAGACTTGGAAAAATATTTACAAATCCTTTATCTGATGAAAACCATATATCTTATATCTGGAATATATAATAAAATCACAAAACTCAAATTTATTTCATTTTTTATTTTTCAGATTTTTATTTAAATTCTAGTTAACATACAGTGTAATATTAGTTTCAGGAATAGAATTTAGTGATTAATCACTTATGTATAACACCCAGTGATCATCATAACAAGTGCCCTCCTTAATACCCATCACTTATTTAGCCCATCCCCATCCTTCCATCAACTCTCCCTTTGTTCTGTATCATTGAGTGTCATATGGTTTGCTTCCCGTCTCTTTTTTTCCTTCCCATATAGTCATCTGTTTTGCTTCTTAAATTCCACATATGATTGAAATCATGATACTTACATTTCGCTGACTGATTTCGCTTAGCATAATACTCTCATTCCATCCACGTCATTGCAAATGACAAGATTTCATTCTTTTTGATGGCTGAGTAATATTCCTGTGTGTGTGTGTGTTTGTGTGTGTGTGTGTGTGTGTGTATAGCTATGTATATATATATAGCACCTCTTCTTTATCCATTCACCAATTGATGGATATTTGGGCTCTTTCCATAGTTGGGCTATTGTTGATGATGCTGCTATAAACATTGGAGTGCATGTGCCCCTTTGAATCTGTATTTTTGTATCCTTTGGGTAAATACCTAGTAGTGCAATTGCTGGATAATCAGGTAGTTCTATTTTTAACTTTTTGAGGACTCTCCATACTGTTTTCCAGAGTGGTGCACCAGTTTGCACTAACAGTGTAAGGGGGTTTCCCTTTCTCCACATCCTCGCTGACATCTGTTGTTTCCTGTGTTAATTTTAGCCATTCTGACAGGTGTGAGGTGGTATCTTGTTTTGATTTGTATTTGCCTGATATTGAGTGATTTTGCCTCTTTTCATGTGTGTTAGCCATCTGGATGTTTTCTTTGGAAAACATGTCTATTCATGTCTTCTGCCCATTAATAAGAAAATAATTTACAAATGAGCAAAAGAGGGGCACCTGGGTGACTCAGTTGGTTAAGTGTCTGCCTTCTGCTCAGGTCATGATCCCAAGGTCCTGGGATTGAGCCCCACCTTGGGCTCCCTGCTTGCGGGGGAGCCTGCTTCTTCCTCACCATCTGCCCCTCTCCCCTGCTTGTGCTTTCTCTCTCTCTCTCAAGTAAATAAATAAAATCTTTAAAAAAGATGAGCAAAAAAGGGGCACCTGGGTGGCTGAGTCGGTTAAGCGTCTGCCTTCAGCTCAGGTCATGATCCCAGGGTCCTGGGATTGAATCCCACATCAGGCTCCCTGCTCAGCAGTGAGTCTGTTTCTCCCTCTCCCTCTGCCCCTCCACCTGCTTGTGCTTGCTCGCTCTCTTCCTTTCTCTGAAATAAAATCTTAAAGAGATTTTGAGAGAGAGAGAGAATGAGCAAGGAGAAGGGGCAGAGGGAGAGAGAGAGAAGCAGACTCCCTGCTGAGCAGAGAGCCCAATGCAAGGCTCGATCCCAGGACCCTGGGATCATGAGTCCTGGGATCATGAGTCCTGGGATCGTGACCTGAGCCCAAGGCAGACACTTACCAACTGAAGCATCCAGGCGCCCCAATAAATAAAATCTTAAAAAAAGTAATAAAAATGAGCAAAAGATTTGAATAGACACTTCACCAATGCAGGTGTACAGGCGGCAGCTAAACACATGAAAAGTTGTCTACTATTACTGGGAAGTTGCAAATTAAAACCAGGTAAAAAGACTATCCACACCAAGTGTTGGTAGGCATGTGGAGAAGCTGGAGTTCTCATATACTGCTGGTGAGAATATAAAGTGATGCGATTGCTTTGGAAAATAGTAGTTTCCTTCAAAGTTAAATGTATGCCTACCATGTGATTCACCATTCTACTCCAAGGTATTTACCCAAGAGAAATGAAAGTATGTGTTCATACAAAGACTTATAAACAAATGCTCATGATGTTTTTTTTCTTTCTTTTGAAAACCGTTTTTAAAAATTTTTATTTTTTATTACCAAAGTATAGTTGACATACAATGTTATATCACTTTCACATGGGAAGCATAGTGATTTGACAGTTATATCTGTTACATGATACCACAATAAGTGGAGTTACCATCTGTCACCATATAATGTTATTAAAATATTATTAACTATATTCCCTATGCTGTACTTTTCACCTCCGGGACTTAACTTATGACTGGAAATTTGTACCTCTTAAACCCCTTCACCTATTATGCCCATCCTCCCCTTCCCCACCCCTTTAGCAACCACCAGCTTGTTCTGTGTATTCATGAGTCTGTTGCTGGTTTTTGTTTGTTTTGTCTTTTAGATTCTATATATAAGTGAAATTATGTTGCATTTGTCATTCTCTTGACTTAATTTCACTTAGCATACTAACTTCTAGGTCCATCCATGTTGTCACAAAGGACATGATCTCATTTTTATGGCTGAGTAATATTCCATTTTGTGGTGTGTGTGTGTGTGTGTGTGTGTATGCGTGTATGCCACATCTTTATCCATTCATCTCTTGACGGACACAGGCTGCTTCCATATCACAGCTATTGTAAATAATGCTGCAGTAAATGTAGGGGTGCTTATATCTTTTCAAATTAGTGTTTTCATTTTCTTTTTTCTTTTTTTTTAAAGATTTTATTTATTTGAGAGAGAGAGAATGAGAGAGAGCGAGTACATGAGAGGGGGGAGGGTCAGAGGGAGAAGCAGACTCCCTGCTGAGCAGGGAGCCCTATGCGGGACTCGATCCAGGGACTCCAGGATCATGACCTGAGCCAAAGGCAGTCGCTTAACCAACTGAGCCACCCAGGCACCCTAGTGTTTTCATTTTCTTTGGGCAAATACACAGTAGTGGAATTTCTGGATCCTATGGTATTTCCATTTTTAATTTTTTGAGGAACCTCCATCCTGTTTTCCACAGTAGTTGCACTAATTTACGTTCAAACCAACAGTGCACGAGGATTCCCTTTTCTCCACATTCTCACCAACACTTATTATTTCTTGTCTTTTGCATACTACCCATTCTTATCTGTGTGAAGTGGTATTTCATTGTGGTATTAGCAGCTTTTCTTCTAGTAACCAGAAATGGGAAAAGACTCATGTATCTATCATGAATGGATAAACAAATTATGGTATATCTATATGGTCAAATACTCTTCAGCAATAAAAAAACATGAGCTGTTGATACAGGCTGCTATATGGATGAATCTCAGTTATGCTGAGAGAAAGAAGCCAGACAACAAGAGTATGTACTGTATACATACATCATAAAATTCTAGGAGAGCAAACTAACATATCATGACAGAAAGATTAGTGGTTGCCTGGATATAAGAGAGGAAGGAGGTGAGGGAGGCTCTGTAGGGATGGATTACAAAGGATAAGGATACTTTTTTGTGGGAGATGGATATATTTATTATCTTGATTGTGGTGATGGTTTCATAGGTGTATACAAATTGCAAAAGTATCTAATTGTATACTTTATGTGTAATTTATTGTATGTTAATTATAGTTAATTATCACATTTTATTTTTTTAAAGATTTTTTATTTATTTATTTGACAGAGAGAGACACAGCGAGAGAGGGAACACAAGCAGGGGGAGTGGGGGAGGGAGAAGCAGGCTTGCGGGGCTGGATCCTGACCTGAGGATCGTGACCTGAGCCGAAGGCAGATGCCTAACGACTGAGCCACCCAGGCGCCCCTATCACAATAACATTTTAAAAAAGCATTACCATTTAATCCTATCAGTAGACCAGGAAGGTAATTAGTATTCGTTTACATTTGAGAACCTAAGCTAAGGGTCACTCAGCTGTTAAATGACAGAATTAGATATGGAATCTAGTCTTTTTTTTTTTAATATTTATTTATTAAGTACTCTATACTAAATGTGAAGCTTGACCTCATGACCCCGGGATCAAGAGTTGCATGCTTCTCTGACTGAGCCAGCCAGATGCCCTTGGAATCTAGGGCTTAAGTGGATTTGTCCAGTGGTTTTTAAACTTCATGAGGATGTGGGGAAAAATGCTGCCAGAATAACATATTTTTCTGCAAAATTGTGTTTTTTGTTGTTACTTTCATACTACAAGAAATTGTAATAGAAAAAATGTTGAGGGGCTAATTTGGGAGGAAAATAGAAGATAATAAGGAAAGAATAAAATGTTTTCTCAAAAGTTTTAACTCCCTTGTCTTCTGAGGGAAAACCCATTAGGGTTGATGGTTCTATATTTTTCTTCTCTGTTTAAAATCAGAATTAAGTAAAAATTGCTGTGGTACTTTCCTTGAATTGTATTAGCATTTCCTAGCATCTTTCAGGGAACATCGTAATTTATATAAAGCTCAACAAGTTGTAACAAAGGGAAAGAGAAGCCTTCTCTGAAGCTAAATTGACTACCTCTTCTTTTGTGCCACTGCTATGTCTTGTGCATACTTTTTTTTAAATTTTTTTTTTTAAAGATTTTTTAAATTTATTTGACAGACACAGCGAGAGAGGGAACACAAGCAGGGAGGGAGTGGGAGAGGGAGAAGCAGGCTTCCCGCAGAGCAGGGAGCCCGATGCGGGGCTCGATCCCAGGACCCTGGGATCATGACCTGAGCCGAAGGCAGACGCTTAATGACTGAGCCACCCAGGGGCCCCTCTTGTGCATACTTTTATTGTTGAATCAGTCAGACAGTAGCATGCTGAAGATCAGATGTGTCTGCCTTCTGGGATTACAAGTTTCTTTGCATACCACACTTTTTATTCAGTAAATATTTCTTGAGTGGCTGACTAATCACATAAATGGAGCTATATTGAAGCAAAAAGCTATTATAATTGCCACGGTAAAAGAGTACCTGCTCTTTTCCATTTTTTAAACACTTTCTACATTTTTCCCTCCTACGGAATAACACCAAACTATTTTAGGTCTTTTGGAACTTTCAGTCCCTTAGAGAAAAGGAGAAGTCGATTTTTTGCCAAACCCAGGGGTTCTGCATATTTCTTTGAATACTGGCAGTTCATGAGAATATGAGTACACAGTATTAAGTCAAAATGTACTATATTTTCACTCTATTCTCTTACGATTGCATATTACAATTCATATATGATTTAGATTATCTTCTATATGCAGTTTATGTTCTACAACTTGAAATAATATAAACATTTTAAAGGAGATAGAATGAAAATAGCATACTCTACATGATTGTCTTAATTTATATCATGGCCTCTTTTAATTTGTTGTTTTAATAGAGACTGCATTGAACCGTGTTTGCCAAGTAAAGCAAATATACAGACAGTACATTTTTATGTATCAGTTTTGTTTTTTTCAATGAATATTTCATGTTTATAAAGAATACAGACTATGAAGATGAAAAGGCATTGAAGAATCCAAAATACAAAGATAGAGCTGGAAAACGGAGGGAGCAGATTGGAAGTGAAGGGACTTTCCAAAGAGATGATGCTCCTGCATCTGTTCATTCGTGAGTACTAAGTTTTAATTGCTCAAAACATTCTTTGTATTGTAATCACATTCATAGAGTAATATGACTTATAGGACTATGTATAGTGGTAATTAGTCTTTAAAGGAATGGTTCTAACAAGATGGAAATATTGTCTCTATTTACATTTTATTTCAATATTAGAATTCCATTCCCTAGAAAATTACTTAGCATATATGAAAGTACAAATACTTATACAGACATACATGTACATAGCTAACATTCTAGCTACCCACTTGAGTGAACTTTTTTTTTTTTTAGAGAGCACATGTGAGTTGGGGGAGGGAGGGACAGAGGGCAAGGGAGGTAGAGAATCTCAAGCAGGCTCCTTGCTCAGCGCAGAGCCCAATGCGGGGCTTGGTCTCACAACCCTGAGATCATGACTTGAGCTGAAATCAAGAGCCGGACACTTAATCGACTGGGCCACCCAGGAGCCCTTGAATGAACATATTTTTATATACTAGATATCTAAAAGTTTGGGCTAGTAAGAAATTAGTATGGACTGGGGTTTTTTTTGGTGGGGGGGGCTGGTATTTTTTATAATTATTTCAGTACTCACCTACGTTTGTTCTTGTTGACTCTGGAATACTATTTTTCTTATTTTTCTTTCAGTTTTTTTCTTTTGGTAAAGTAGCACTGATAACAAGAAAAATGTAATTTTGTGGCCCATATGATATGACCGTATTTCTGCATTTAATCATATATTAACTACATTTTTTTTTTCTCAGAATATAAATTCAGAGTTTAGTTAGAATTTAAATCTTTTGTGTAAGACTGACAACTAACCATAAACTTTGATTAAATGTATTTTATTAATTCCAAGATACACTACTTGGATAGAGTTTTAGTTACATATGACAGCAGTGTTTTCTCAATGGTACATAAAACAACAGTGCATCTTGCATCCATCAGCTTTGATGAAATACAGCATTATGAATTAGATATACTAAGCAACAGGACAAGTTTTTTTAAAGTTTAATTTTTGATGTAATAGCTGGAAAATATGAAGATTGCATTAGAGTTAAATTAGAAGGCAGAAATAAAAAATGAAATACATTGGTCTGCCATTGCTTGGTTTATTGTTATTGAGGAGGTAATTTAACATACTTTGTAGAACTGAAAGTACAGTGTGATGGAACATAAAATCAAAATATCCTTAAACTAGCAGAACATAAAATCATAGAATAAAATGCAAATAGTGAATGAGAGTTTTTGTTTCATTTTACTTTTATTTTTCTATTGATGTACACTTACATACAGAAAAGTACACAAATATAAGTATTGCTATCAATAGTATATCGTAAGATTAACACATTATAGAGTATACATTTCTTGGTCAAGAAATAGAAAATGATCAGTAACTCCCAGAAACCTATCCTCTCCTAGTGCCCCCTCTTGATCACTATTCCTGTTTTCTCCCTAAAGGCAACCACTTTCCTGACTTCCAGTAGGAACAGATTAATTTCACTTGTTTTTGAATTTTAAATAAATGGAATAATTTAGTATTTATTTTGTGTCTATATTCTTTTTGTCCAACATTATTTTGTTAGGTATATTTTATTTTCAGTGCTGTATAATCTCTTACATGAATATGCCACAATTTATATATTTTACCATTGATAGATCTCTGGATTATTTCCAATTTGTAGTTATTATTAAATTTGCTGCAGAAACATTCTTCTACATTTTTTTGTGTGTGCACCATGTATGTGCTTTTCTGTTAAGTAGTATATATAGGACAATTTATGTATCTTAACTGTATTAGGTAGGTCAAACAGTTTTCTATAGTATTTGTACCAGTTACTTTTAATTTATTAGTTTATTATAAATGTGATCTACATGGTCTTTTCGAAATCAACTATCTTAATTTCCTTTAAAGTGAAATTACTGATAGCAACAAAGGTCGGAAGATGCTGGAGAAGATGGGTTGGAAAAAAGGAGAGGGCCTAGGGAAGGATGGTGGAGGAATGAAAATTCCGGTAAGACATGTGTTTTCTTTCATTCTTTATTCTTATAGCAGATGTATTTACTGTGTACCTACTGTGTACCTTAGTGCCAGGAGTGTAGTATCAAGCACAAATAGACATGATTACTGTCTTTGTGGCATTCACAATACCAAATATATATATATATATGCATTGTTTTGTGTGTTGTTTTTTTTTTTTTAAGATTTATTCATTTATTTAAGAGAGAGAGAGAGCACAGCAGGGAGAGGGACAGAGGGAGAGGAAGAGAGAGAATCTCAAGCAGACTCCCCGAGTGCAGAGCCCCACATGGGGGCTCGATCTCACGACCCTGAGGTCACAACCTGAGCTGAAATCAAGAGTCAGATGCTTAACCGACTGAGCCATCCAGGTGCCCCCACAGTGTTACTTTACAAACAGGCAGATCTTATATCTGTTTTCGATTTAAGAATCAGGTGATGTAACAAGCAGTAGAGGGAATACTGTCTGGAAAACAGTGCAGTGGTTAATTCTGCAGTCCCCATGGTTCATCAGAGGTTTAGATTATCTTTTACAAAAACCTTACAAAGTAACATGATTAAAGAACTTTTTTTATAATTACCTGGTACTTAAGGAAATGATGGATGATTGTGAGGTTTAATGTGACTTTTCTTACTTATGAGGTACAATGAGAAGAACATGGGTTTTATAGTCAAACCTATAAAATAGAATTATTTTGTTAGAATAGGTGCTCTATCACTTACTAGTTGTGTGACTTAGGGCAGGTTTGGACTTCAGTTTTCATATGTAAAAATGGGTATTATAAGAACTGTTTTCTAAGGGGTATCATGAAGATAAGGCCCCTAGTATTGTGCCCAACGTACAGTAGGCACTCAGTAACTGGTAGCTTTTAATAGTTCTCAAAATAATCAGAAGTCCTCCCCCTCATTTTATGAAAATAAACAATCAAGTTCTCTTTATGACTTTTTTTTTTTTTTTTTTTTAAGATTTGATTGATTTTAGAGAGAGCGTGAGCGCGGAGCCTGATGCCAGGCTCGATCCCACAACCCTGAGGTCATGACCTGAGCCAAAACCAAGAGTGGGTTGCTAAACCAACTGAGCTACCCAGGCACCCCTCTCTTTATGACTCTTAGTGTTTAATCTACTCTTTCACTTTCTTAGGCAAGGCTAGAGTAGCAGTAGGTTTAAGTATGTCCATTGCCTTTTCTTCTGCTTAGAGTGGGACAGCAGCCTTTGCAGCATCTCGGTGAAATTTGGTGGCCACTCTTTAAGGAGCACTCTGTTTTCTATACGGAGTCAGCTATAGTTACTGATAAGGAAGACAACGTAGAAGAATGACTTTAAGTTCTATGTATAATTATGTGTGCATTCCTGCATGTATTTGATAGATTTGACAGGTTTTCTTTTGCATCAATCTTTGTAAATCAAAGAGTTAAAGTACCAAGTTGGGTACAGCAAATTTCAATGTATTTAGACTCCATAGTAAGTCCTCTGCTTAACTTTTGGTAACAGATCCAGCTTCAGCTTCGGCGAACACATGCAGGCTTGGGGACAGGCAAACCATCCTCGATTGAAGATGTTCACCTTCTCCAAAACAAGAGCAAAAAGAACTGGGAGAAAGCACGAGAGAGGTTTGCTGAAAACTTCCCAGAAACTAAATCTCAAAAAGATGTGCCAGGAACCGTCCCTTGGGTCAAAGGAACCATAGAGTGAAGGTTAGTCATAGAACACAATTCACACTTTTTTTAAAAAAGAGTTTGGAAACTCTTATTTTATTGCAGAACTTTTCCTTCCAAAAGAGTCCATGGCATGAGGGAACTGTATCACAATTTACCCCCTCATGATTCAGAAATGTGTAATAAACTGTGGTTTGCAGCTCTTAAAAAAAACATTTTTTAAAAAACTAATAAATAGTAATTGAATTAGGTTATGCTGTGAGCAGACTAAAGTTCACAGGGCACGGCTGAGCTTATCAAACTTTGTTATTTTATCTTGTCATTTATAAGACCCATTTATGCAAAATTCATATAACCAGTAATGATTTAAATGTACGTTTGTCCTTCTCTTCATATATTCATTATTATAAGATATACAACAAGAAAAACATCAAAAGTTTATAAAAACAAGTCTGATTATATGCATCCTTGTTTATGTCCTTTAGAACTTAGATAAAAAATGTTGAGAACACAGGGATAGTGGTGCATAAATTTTATTCTTAAAATATTCTAAGTAATAGTATTGAAGAACTAATGAACAGGTGATATGTTATAGAAAACTAGTCTTTCATTGTTTTCTTCTGTGAAGAATTTGTTGATTTGTACTATATATTAAGCATTTACATTTGGTTTGTTTTATAGCTGAAATATTTAGATACGAGCAATTGAGTACAGTATTGAAATATTCCATGTGCTGGTATTTATAGTTTTGATAAATCCCATTGCTGGCAATGGAGTTGTGCCAGAGAAATCTGATTTCTACTGCAAAAGGATTACCTAGCTAAGGCCTCAAACACAAGATATTTATTGAAAATGTCTTCAAATGCAATAAAAACATTATAACATCAAAAAGAGTGATTCCTTGAACCAGTGTTTTAAACAGATAGGTCTGCTTTGAACTCAGGACCAGCCAGAATTTTCCTCTTTAAATTGGCAGAGCAGGAACAACAGGATAACTTGAAGTATCGGAGAGAACTGCAGTGCAGCTCTTCGAGTGCATGTCACTGCTCTGCCGGCTATCACTGTTCTCTTCCTTTCTGTTCAACTTTTCTCTCAGCTTTTTGCTGGGAAATTATGCTGGAACTGGCTGTTTTCTGGCAGTGAATATAAGCTATAGCTCCCTCATCTACTATAAAGAAATGTCTTCAAGATTTAGAAATGGGAAAAGAAAATTCTGAAAAAAATTATACAATGGGGAAGATAATTCAGAAAGAAAGGCTACTTGATGGAATTTCTACTCTGAATGGAACAGAGTACTTAAGAAGAAAAGGGGGTGGTGGGGAAAGAAAAATAAATAAATTACTAAAGGTGAGACATATGACCAAACAAATTGTCAAGACCCTCTAGGTCTAAGCTGGGACCATCAGAGGTCCTATAACTCCAAATCTGCAAAAAGTAATTTTCTGTGTCCTTCATAGCCACCTACACACCCTGACACTTACATATGTACATTAAACTTGAAGGCAACAGGAGTGTTCTGCATTCTTTTTCTAAAATAGAAAAAAATTACTCATTTAAATGTGGTTCTGGTACTGGTTCCCTGTATATAGGTGGCCCAAATTAGAATTGTGGTAGATTTCACTCACTGAGTAAAGTATACAACTGTGTATATAATATTTCCCATTTTTATTATTAGATTGTGGAAGACTTTTTTCATTGCTTTCTTTTGTTAAGAAAATGGAGACTTGAAAATGGTGATAAAAATTGAAATATGTGTGATATTTGCGTTATTAAAAACCCTTTGCAGATCTACAGTCTCAGGGCTATACTATTGGTGGTTAAAGGACTGAATAATGTCTGGGTCTATTTCCATTTGTGAAATAAGAATAATATTTATCTTTCATGTCTTTTGAATAGAAAATGAGAAGATGTATATAAAAGTACTTTGTAAACTGTAAAAGTAGTACGGAGATGTGAGCTTCTATTTGTTTAGAAGCAAAGATGTGAATTATGTACAATTTGGATTACATATAAAATTGTTTTGTGTCTCATATTTTAAATTATTTATTCACACAGTATAAATTTATTGTAGTAGTCTTTAAGGGTTTATTTTTTTATTTTTTTAAGATTTTATTTATTTATTTGAGAGAGAGACAGACAGAGCATGAACAAGGTGGAGGAGGGAGAGGGAGAAGCAGAATCCCTACTGAGCAGGGAGCCCGATGTGGGGCTTGATTCCAGGATCCTGAGATCATGACCTGAGCTGAAGGCAGACGCTTAACCGACTGAGCCACCCAGGCGCCCCCCACTTTTTTTAAAGATTTTATTTATTTATTTGAAATAGAGACAGAGCATGAGAGGTGGGGGGCGGTTAAGGGAGAGGGAGAAGCCCCTAGGGTTTATTTTAAGTGGAGGTATAGGTTGCTGAATTTTGAGAAATCTAACATCTTTCATTTTTGCCAGAACATGAGAAGCTGACAAAATTTGAGAATGGAAGAAACCATAAAAGTTAGAGTAAACTAACAAATTATTTTCTAGAATTAAATAGCTAGGTAGCACATTTTTCAAAAAGGATTTTTCCCCCTGCTTTTATTTTTATTTTTACTTTTTTTAAAGCTTTTATTTATTGATTTGAGAGAAAGCACAAGTGGGGTGAGGGGCAGAGGGAAAGGAAGAGGGAGAAGCAGACTCCCTGCTGAGCCTGGAGCCCGACACGGGGTCTACCCCAGGACCCAAAGATCATGACCCAGTCCAAAGTCAGATGCCCAATCGACTGAACCCCCCCCCCCCGGCTTTTAAAAGTTCTTCTTTCTGATGTTTCATTTTTATTCTTATGAAATTTAATGGCTCACCCAAATCAGATACCTTCTAACTTCTTGTGTAAAAGATTATGTCTTAATTTGGCACATTTTCCAAGAACATGCAAAAGAAGATAGAAATCTCAAATAAGGGAAAGCGAGGTGTCAGAGATTATGTAGAAAGGCCATCCTGTCAAGTTGCAGGACAGAGGGATGTGCTTGGCAGGGAGCCAGTAAGGCGTTTCTGGACTCAAGACCTAAAGGTGTTCGCAGTGTTTCCCCATCATCTTGTGTTAAGCATGCTTCTTATTTTTGCAGAGCATCACTTACATCTCTGCTGTGAATCTTTAATCTGAAACACTTTACTTTTTCAGACTTTAAAATGAAAATATGTACATTTGGGTTCTTTAAAATGAGTTAGTGTTTATGTGTGTCGGAGCCCAGGCTTGCTCTCTGCCTTTCTGTTTTACTAATTTTGGCGTTGGGTTATGGCCTTATAGTTGCAGATGACTTAGAACTCCTCTGTCATATTCATGTCCAAAACAGGAAGAAAGGGAAAAGAGAGCAGTATTTGTGTTAGTTCTGTTTTACCAGGAAGATAAAAGTTTACTCACAAGCTCTCATAGCAAACTTCTCCTTAGGGTCATTAACCAGAATCTGATAACATGACTACCCATAGTTGCAAGGGAAGTTGAAAAGGTGGGCAAGAGGATGGTCTCACTTGGCTTAAGCCAATCATGAACCATCACCTGGGGCTGAACATGTTGCTGTTGAAACAAAATCAGAGTTCAGTAATAAGGCTTATTGAATGGACAGGTAACAGGCTGCCAGATAACCCAACTATCCATCAGTGGGAATTCTGTGGGGTTGGTTAAATTGTTTTGCAGTCCTACTATGTAATACTTTGAAGCCATTCAAATGTGTTAAGTTAGAATTATCTATACCCTGATAAAGAATATTCTGACTACATTACTGACTTGAAAAAGCAGATTGTAGAAAGGTATGTATAGCCTGATCTCATTTTTAAAAAAATATAAGGGTACACGTCAAATTGTTAATACTAATTGCCAAAGAAGTGAGCAGACTTTCACATTTTATTATTTCTGTATGTGACCTTTTTTTTTTTTTTAAAGATTTTATTTATTTATTTGACAGAGACACAGGAGAGAGGGAACACAAGCAGGGGGGAGTGGGAGAGGGAGAAGCAGGCTTCCCGCGGAGCAGGGAGCCCGATGTGGGGCTCGATCCCAGAAACTTGGGATCATGACCTGAGCTAAAGGCAGACGCTTAACGACTGAGCCACCCAGGTACCCCATCTGTATGTGACCTTTAAGCAGGTATAATTGTGCACTTACCTATGGGTACTCATACACATTTATAATAGGTAAGAATACAGCACTTGGAAGTGGAGAGGCCTTCAAGGCTCAACCCCAGGCATTTTCCTCACTCTTGTGTGCCACATTTCATTTACCATTTATATACCCATGACTTCAGGTTGTCTTAGCTAGGATACATCTCCAACTCAGTCACCTTAAATGCAGTGTTTAAGACTGAATCCATAGTCTTCTCCACACCTGGTCTTTTCCAGTTTGTTCTCTCAGCTGGCAGCACCATCTATCCAGTTGTTTAGTAAGCTAGAATCAAGGAGTCAGCCGCTATTTCATACACTCACCCTCCGTCCCCTCCACCAGTTTCCCATATAGTAAATCAGTTCTCTGTCAACACCCACCTGGACTGTGCTACTAACTTCCCAGCTGGTCTCCCTGCAGTCACCCTGTCCTCCCTCCCGTGCATCCTCCACACTGCAGACACAGTGTCTTCACAGCTCCTCTTTCATCATCTCCTGTTTAAATCCTCCTGTGCACAGCTTCCCATTACTCTGAGGACAGAAAACAAACTCCTGGCCCATAACACCCTACCTGGTCTAGCCACCGCCAGCTTTTGCCGTCCTGTGTTACATCATCCCCACTTGCTGCCAGGCTGGCCTTTTTTTCAGTTCCTCAAACATACCACACCCTCTCTTACTCTAGGGCCACTGATCTTCTCTTATGTCTGCATTGCTCTTCCTGTACCCTTTTACCTAGGTAACTCTGACATTTAGATCTCTGCTAATTGATTCTCTTCAGGGATGTGTCCCTTGTCCCCTAGACAGACTGATTGCCTTTGATAAGTGTTCTTGGAAATCCGTATTTGTTCCATTTAGATTATTTACTTTGGGTCACAGATATTAATGTGATTAGTATAGCATTTGTCTGTCTAGAT